TTTTTTTTTGCTCACCAAACACACTTTTAGAAGTTTTGTAATAATTGAATAGAAAATTATACATAATTAGAAAATAATTATTATAAAAATGAATATCTATATTCTCTTCCATAATTAATTGTACCGAAGGACTTCATACAATAGTATTAACTTCTTACTTTCTATAATATATTTTACGTGTCAGAAATGTCTCTTAAACAATATCACATCTCTGCTTCTTAAAGATTAAAATATCAATTTTATAAATAAAGGATCAATTATAAACATATTTGATCCTTTTCTATAAGAATACTCTTAAATGAGAATATATCATTATCAAAATTTTGTTTTTTGTGTATGCACTTAGTTAAAAATTTGATTCATAAAAAATGCTAGTCTTGAAATGGTAAGTGATAATACCAATTTTATATTTTCACTAATTGTTTGCTACATCATAATAATTTTTATCATAAAATTATATTTTATATAATTGTTTTCCTTTAAAAATTTTATTTCGGACAATACTACATTTATCTTTCACAAATTTGATTTTATAACATAATTAATTTTATCACATCATAACAAATAAATAGATGAATTGCTTTTTAAAAATAAAAATAAAAATACTCAACTAATGTCACGAAGTAGTGAATTCTTTATTTCTTCTAAATCTTTTAACGTAAAATTTTTCCAAAATTTAAAATCATTATTAAATTTCTATTTTAAAATAAAAAGAAAGGTCAATTCATCATTAATAAAATTTGCCACATAAGCAACCAATAAAGACTTGCCATCTGACCTTAATATAACCCACATAAGCTTGTCTTTTGGCGACTTTTTAGCAAACAGAGTCTTAAATATTATATTAAAAGATTATATGTTTTTATAACTAAAAAGAAATTTTTATACAATCCTTTTTTAATTATGAAATATTATAAAAGCTTAAGTGAGATTGTAACAAAAAGCACCCTAAGGTTAGCAACTCAACTAAATGACCAAGAGATCCTTGTTTCAAACCCCATGGTGATATGCTTTTGGAAAAAAATTGCATAAAAAGAACTGGTCTAACCGGTCAAACCGATCGGTTTGTCTAAAAGGGTGACATATTAGCTCGCCACATGTCGCGCTATAACTTTGCCAAATGTCACCACATCAGCTCGCCACATGTCGTGTTTTAGCTCTGCCAAATGTCACGCTCTTATAGCTCCGACTCTACTTTATATGTATAAAGGATTCGGCCCAAATGAAGTTGGCAACTCTATCTACAAAAATAATTCGGAAAGAAATGGAGTTGCCTACTCAGTGTTGCACAAGAAAAAAAAGTCTCACATACACTGTTAGGAATGATTTATTATTTTCTTACCTGTGCGGGGAGTTTCCTCTTCTAACAGTGGTATCTTTCTGAATAATTGAAAATATTTTTCTGAAGTGACTACAACTTTAAGGTAACTAGATCTTTCTATATCTTTCTGTAAGTGTGAAGAATGATTTTATATCTTTGTGGATTCGTTAGGGCATAAATTGGAAAAAGCAGCCATGCATTGTGCTCTGAGAGCTCATCATCCAGTAGCAATTGGAAACTCTCTAATTCGGTATCCGGCCAAAGTCAAGGTTTTTACTGTCAAGTGCTCATCTCCTTCTGCTGCTCCGATTGCAGGTGAATGAATATCTCAGATCTCTCTCTCTCTTCAAGCATATGTTAATTGGTAAACCCTAATGTGCGCGACAGTGCATTATCTTGGGTAATTTCGTTTTCAATTAATGAACTGCTACCTCAAAAATGCAAACCCTGGGTATGTTTATCCTATTATTTCTGGTTTCTGATCAACAAATTAGATTGCTTTCAGTTATTCTTCTGGACTCTCATTTTTTTTATTTCTCGAGTGCTACTCTTAAACAAATCATTATTTTCATGAAACAACTCTCTTAGGAGTGGTGGAGAGGCCGTGGAAGTTGGCAGATGCCAGACTCGTCCTTGAAGATGGTTCAGTTTGGAGGGCAAAATCGTTTGGTGCTTCTGGGACCCAAGTTGGGGAAGTAGTGTTCAACACATCATTAACTGGGTGAGATGAGACTATGAAACAATGAATTTATACTTAGAATATTTATCCGCAAAAGTGGCAATATCCCCTAACCTATGGGCCTTTCCACAAACTTTTAAGCTCTGAGTGATCACAATCGTCACTTACGGACCCATAATTTTAATGTCGGTTTATGTACTCCCTCCATTTATTTTTACTTGAATCATCCACTGTTCAAGGGGTCAACCTTTATTCTTTGTCTTTAGCTATTTTCATTGCCCATTTAGTAAAATAGTATAGCCATGCCAGCTTTTATTTTGTTGAAGTTTTGAAATACTCCCTCCATCTCGGTTTAGCTGTCCACTTGTTTTCATTTGTCTGGAATTAGTTGCCCACATTCCATATTCAATAAAGAGATTATTATGAATTCCCTAAAATAGGTATGAGACATTGTGGACATGAATGAGTGACCAAGTCATTTCAAGGACTCATTTGACATTTTAAATTCATTTCTTAAAAATTAGATTTATTAGGAAGTAGGCAACCTAATCTGGTCAAAGAGACTAGTTTTTAAATATATAAATTTTATTATTTAATTTTACAATAGTTTTCAAATAAATTAGATTGATCATAATTTTAGTCAAACATTGTAAACCAAAATTGGTCAAGTTAAAAGAAACGGGGGGAGTATAAGCGTTTTTACTTTCTGATATTGCCAGGTATCAGGAAATACTTACAGACCCTAGCTATGCTGGCCAATTTGTCTTGATGACCAATCCCCACATTGGAAATACCGGGGTCAATTTTGGTTTGTATTGTGTTCTCACATTTAAATTTCTTGTTTAGACTTCAAGAATTTTAACCTTTATAATCTGAGTTCATTTCTGAACAGATGATGAAGAATCCAGAGAGTGCTTTCTGGCTGGTTTAGTAATTAGAAGTTTGAGTTTAAGGTGTGATATGATCTACTTTTCAAGAACTTAACATTTACTTGTGTGTGTGGATACCATTGTTGTTGCATTCAAACCCTTTCTACTGAATTTTGTCAGTACCTCTAATTGGAGATGCACAGAAACACTCAACGACTACTTAGCTGCTAGGAATATAATGGGAATTTGTAAGTTGACTTTACTATTCATGTTCAAATTCATAGACATAATAACTTATCACTGGCAAAGTGAATATTTGAAATAAAAAAACAACCTGAATCAGATGATGTTGACACTCGTGCAATCACTAGGAGGCTGAGGGAAGATGGAAGCCTTATTGGTGTGCTGACCACAGAGGACCATAAAACAGATGCAGAACTTCTAGAAATGTCCCGCACATGGGACATTGTTGGTAGGTGTTTCCCGTTGATTGTGGATGATTAGATGTTGCTGTTGCACAACGGATTTGAAATCTGTACAGTTCAATCAAATGTAATGCATTGCAGTCAAAGAAGAAGAGGATGTGGGGGTGCTCAAGTGGTTGGAGCACCAACTTATCTCCATCCTCACCCAGGATCAATGTTCCCCCCCCGCACTCCAAAATCCCTTGAATTGATTCCAATCAATAAATATAAGTATAATAGTAACAATAATGCCTCATCAACATCCATGTGTTTTGTTTTATTTTTACACGAAGGGTATGTTTGGCTATATTATTAGCTAGTAATTAGAGGTTAGTGGTTGGGGGTATTAACACAACCAGAGTAATTTAGGGGCTGTTTGGCAACTTCTGAATGGGTAAGTGCTGAACCAGTAAGAGGTCTGAATCATTAAGTGCTGAACCAGTAAGAGGTCTGAACCATTAAGAGCTAGTATATTGTTTAACTATTCAGAGGCAAATGTCTGATCAATTCAGATAACAGCTCTTAACCATTCAGACTCTGTATAATACTTAACCATTCAGAGGCAAATCTCTTAACCATTCAGACATCTGAACCATTAAGAGGCTGAAACAAACAGTCTGAACCATTAAGTGCTGAATCATTCAGACATCTGAACCATTAAGAGGCTGAAACAAACAGNTTAACTATTCAGAGGCAAATGTCTGATCAATTCAGATAACAGCTCTTAACCATTCAGACTCTGTATAATACTTAACCATTCAGAGGCAAATCTCTTAACCATTCAGACATCTGAACCATTAAGAGGCTGAAACAAACAGTCTGAACCATTAAGTGCTGAATCATTCAGACATCTGAACCATTAAGAGGCTGAAACAAACAACCCCTTACTTTAGCCCACCATTGGTTGCTGGATACAAATGTTACTGTCTTAAACGTTCAAGCAGTGGTCTGGCTTACATTGCATTGTGGCTTTTCAAATGTTTCCTTTGTCGGTGTAGCAATTACCCATTTGACCGTTTCTTACAATTAATGCAGGAGTAGACTTGATTAGTGGCGTCTCCTGTGATGCCCCCTATGAGTGGGTTGATAAAACCCCCTTGTCATGGGATTTTAACATTAATGGAAGGAACAAAGAAACTCTCAATGTCAGTACAGTGTATTAGGTTGTATTTCTAACATTTTGCAGGCTGTTAGTATTAAACATCTTCTTACTAATTTGTTTAATCAATGAAGGTGGTTGCATATGATTTTGGCATCAAGCAAAATATACTTAGGAGATTAGCTTCCTATGGCTGTAAAATCATGGTTGTTCCTTCAACATGGCCTGCATCTGAAACACTGAAGATGAAACCTGATGGGGTCCTATTCAGCAATGGCCCAGGGGACCCATCTGCAGTTCCTTATGCTGTTGAAATTGTAAAGGACATCATTGGGAAGGTTCCTGTGTTTGGCATTTGTATGGGCCATCAGTTGCTTGGTCAAGCCTTGGGTGGTAAAACCTTCAAAATGAAATTCGGTCATCATGGCGGAAATCATCCCGTCCGTAACCTTCGGAATGGCACTGTTGAGATTAGTGCCCAGGTATATTAATTAAGAACCTCGTTGGTATAGCTTATGGTATGAGTGCTTTATTTATTTTATCCCAAACGCTTTCTCATTTACGCACTTGAAGTTTTTTTAAATAAAATTATAAAAATAACCAGTTGTTTTCTTAAATAAGCATTACAAGAACTTTTTCCTGTTATTTTTACATTGTTCTTCCAATCTCTTATTTTTTTCCAACTAAAAGCACTTTCCTCTCTCAAAAAGAAATTCTTCATTGAAAACAAGTTACTCCAGTTATTTGCTACAGTCTTTTTAACTACCCAGGTCTAGTATATGCTTTTCTTTTAGTCGCATGTTATTAGTCTCTGTATATTGTGCTAGGGTAGGATTCCATCTTAAGAGTACTTTATAAATTGCACCACAATATTTTCTTAGTGTACTTACACGAACAAAAAAACAGAATCACAATTATGCTGTTGATACGGAGTCGCTTCCGGAAGGCGTGGAGGTTACTCATGTGAATTTGAACGATGAAAGCTGTGCGGGTCTTGCATTTCCCCAGAAAAAGTTGATGGCGCTTCAATACCATCCTGAGGCATCACCCGGCCCGCACGATTCAGATAACGGTACACACTATCTTCTTCCCCTAACAATTGAATTATATGTATTGGGTCAGTGAGTGGTTCCTGGTTGGGTCTATAGTCAGCTAGAACAGGAAACATAACCTATCTTTCAAGACCATAAATTCTGCGGGCACATACCACTCCTTAAGTTCTCATAAAAAATGGTTTTGGATGACAGTGTTTGGAGAATTTGTTCAACTAATGAAGAACGAGAAATGGAGGAACAGCTAGGAGCTGCTCCCAAGCTAGGGAAGAAGATATCAATGTAGCCGAATCCCACTTTGGATTGTTCGTATTCTTTTCCCTTCCAGTTTCTTATGATGTTTTCCCTTTTAGTTTTTGTTCCGGTTTGGCTATATATATACAGCTTGAAAATATCTTTTTTTTAAAAAAATTATCAATATGCAAGAGGTTTTTAGGGAAATAAAAGAAATGTGTGTAGGAAGAGAGGGTTTGCAAATTTTCTACCACACACTGAATGCTTATGCACTATATCGAATGGCGTTGTTGGGTTTCTCTTGGTCATATGCGTCTTCTTTTGCGACGTTTTTCTACATTCCTTTTAAACAAATTTTAGTCACACATTGTTCAATTTCAACACTTTTTTTAAGGTTGAGAAGGTAGAATATGTTTTCATCATCGTAGTATATATAGCATAGGTGTTGAAAGATTTAAAACGCTACTATCTGCTTTGGGTTGATTATTGAGGAGTGTAAGGCTGCTTTGAGTAGTTTTGACTTTGTTTCTCTTGTATTCATTTCTCGGAATTCGAATTTAGTTGCCCATAATCTTGCTAGAAGAGTGGAGACTCATCCTAGATTTTGGGATAATCCTAGTTTTGTATTCAATTTGTTAGCTTAATGAAAGTTCTGATTGTTTTGCTTCAAAAAAATCTGAACTGACTAGAGCATGAATAATTGAAGTTGGCATCCAATACCAACTTGAGAACTAACAATAATAACAAGCCCATTGTAATTTGAGTTCCATTAGGGTATGAGGGAATAACGATGAAGAAGTGCACAATTTCTACCCTCCCAAGAAGGATGTTTCTTTTTCTTAGTGCATTTGGGCTTGGATTTTCCTAATTTCTTGTCCCACCACTGACATTTTGCCGCATAATATGCCCCCACCTCTAAACCCATTTGAAGGGTGGTGGGATGGGGCATATGTATCCAAGTGGGTGGGGAATATTATGTGCCAAGATGTGAGTGGTGGGACAGGGAGGAAGTACAGGAACAGAGGATCCAAGCCCAGTGCATTTACACTATGTTTTTAAGGGATTTAGAACAAAAATTAAAAATGATTTTCTTCATTTCTTCACCGAAATGGGAAAAATGATTTTCCTTATAACATTTTCCTTTTCTGTTCCTTCAATTTTTCATTTCTTTTCCTTTTTTAAACAAACAAGAGGAATTATTTTTCATCTCATTTTCTTTTCTTTCCCTTACAAATTTTTTGAAACAAATATAGTGTTTCAAACTGCATGAAGAGTAAGCAACAAGAAAAGCTCACTCATCCCTATGTCATTTTAGTTTGAACCAGTTAGGAAAAGCAAAAACTATTTCTCAGAAATAATTTTTTTGAAGTTCTATTGATTATGATCAACGTTGCCAGCTTTTACTCCTTGGGTCGTAAATTAAATTGTCCATTTTGATTTACGATCTTTGACTGGAATAATTTTTAATTTAAACTACTCCGTATTTGAGAATTGAAGAGAAATTAAAAAATAAAATTTACATATTTAAAAATTTGAACAAAAGTTTTACAAAAGAGTAGGTGACATGAGTAACCGGGTGAATAGCAAATAGAAAACTTAAATTGAGATGGAGATAGAGAGATCTTTAGTGGAATGGAATGTTTGAGAAATGATGATGTAGCACGAGGATAGGGGGAAATGATAAGTCATTGGTGTAATAGGGAAAAGAAGTTAAAGAAAAGTGGATGCACCTGAGAAAAATAAAGAAAAGATATTTAAAAAATGGAGGATTAAATATTTGCTTCCTACGCCCCGTTGTATTTGTCTAGTTTGATTTTCAAATTAAACGTGACGGCCTTAGAGTTTTAATTAAACAAAAATCGTTATGTATATTAGTCTAAAAGTTGTTTTTTAGATATATTTTGTTGAGAAATTTTGAAATTTTATTTCATTACACCTAAGTAAACTTGGTAAGCATTGATCAAGGGAGACCTTTGTATGAACAATCTCACATCAGATATGATACACGATAGGATGCAATGACATCATTTGATCCATGTAGCCGACCCCACCTAGTGGGATAAGGCTTTGTTGTTGTATACTAGTATGCAATACAAATTAAGTTTAGTTAAAGTTCAACGTTTGTTTAATTTGATTCGAAAAAATCATGTTTGACAAAAACAGTAGAATCCGGACGAAGTTAGTATTTAACAATGGAATAGATCTTTTACCCATATTTTTTTAATTCAAGCATAATTTTTTGTGGTGTGTACATATATATATATATATATATATATATATATATATATATATATATATATATATATATATATATATATATATATAT